TTTCAATTCAAAAATGGATTGCTGTTCATATCTAAAAAAAAAGAAAAATGAATTCATGTTTCGATGAATTTAATAAGATAAGCTTCTTAATTATTTTTCAAATATTATAGCAGTATGAGAAAAGAAGATTCCTGCTAATCAAAACTTTGCAACTTCAAGTTATATAACAATTAGCTAAATTGTTGTGAATTAATTTTAAAATCTATTTCTTCTACAGTTCTTTTATTATATAATTAAATAAAGGTGTGTTTTATTGATTCTAAAAATTCTTATTATGTTATTAATTCTGATATCCTGAATTTTAATCTGATTATATTCTTTTAATATTAGATTAATTAAATTAATCAAAAAATATTTTATGCAAACCTCATAAATTGAAAAAAAACTTTGCTAAGTGCACAAATCAGAAATAGTGGTAGTTGATTTGAAGCCATAAACCAGATTAGAAGACAAATACTTATGTACAAGATGCCTTGCTGAAAAAGTTGATAAAGAAAATTTGACATTGCTCCAAGACACTATTGAGATGATTTAAAGCATGAAGAATTAAAGCTAAAAGCTCAATAAGGAAGAAAATACTATCAGACTCACAAATATTAAATCATTATAATCATCCATCAAGTCATTCAAAGATTACATCAAAACTGAACTTAATAAATTACTTCAATTAATAGATTAATAAATAGAATAGATTTAAACTGAAATTGAATCAAAGGAAACTAAGGAAGAGATAAAAAATTTTGATGACGAACTTCTAATTCTATCAAAAAATTATAATGGCAATTATAGTTTCAATATACCAACAGAATAGAGTTTAAAATAAAAAGACATAGTCCTTGTATAGCTGATATAAGAATCACTATTAGCTTAATCAAAATCACAGCATTTTAAGGAGATTATGGAATCTATTGAAAAAATAAAATTCACAACACCAAACAACTAATAGATGAATATAAATTAAATGCCAACTAAAGAATTTGAATAGCATGTAAGTTCATGATATAATATTAGAAAACTCCTTGTCTTAATTAAATATGTAGCAAACACAACAAGGAAATAATCATGTTAAACCTTAATTTGAATGAACCTGAATTCAGTCGACTGGCATGTGTAGAATGCATTGAAGATTGTCCTATTTAATACATTAGTTTGAAAGAGGCGAATAAAAGATGGAATGAATTTAAAGGATAATAGACTGATTTAATTTCAAAACATAATTTCAAAAGAGAAAAAACATTTAATGTGGCCATAAAAGAAATTAAGCAACTACGAGACTATTATAATGATTAATTATCAGAAATACTTACATCTATTAATGAATAATTAATTCAAAATACTCAAAATATTAAAGATTTTATTAATTTAGAAAATAAATAGATATTTGAATTAGAAGAAAAATAAGTTGAAAAAATAGTTGATTTGTTAAGTTAAAAAGATAAAAATAAACATCTGCTTGAGGAGTAAGAAAAACAAGAAAGACTTGATTATTTGTTTTATTAAAGTATCAAATAAAAATTGGATTGTCTAATAAAACATGATCTTCTTTGTAAGTAATAATTGATTAAATTAATGTAATAATAATAAGGTACTTTTTTATATATTAATATTAGATTTAGAATAATCAGAAAGAAATGATTCATAAATTAATAAAAAAAGTCCTGAAATATATGAATTCATATCAAAATGTTAATTGCAAGATTCATATTTATCTATTTTTAATGAATCAGTTGACTTCTAGATGGAATTACAGAAAGAAGCGAACAATTTATAATAACAAGGATAGCTTGAGTAATTAACTTAATTGGAGAGTGATAATAATGAGAATGCTTAATTTTCTTCTTAAATGTAATAATAATATAAAAAATTTGAAATAAATTCAGAAAAAATGAGAAAATTGATAAAGGCAGAGGAAAATTTTGAATAATTAAAAATAATTAA